CTCCTAACGGGCGGCAGCAAGCTATGCGCCAGCCCCTAACTCCGCCGCGTCTCCTCAGCATGGAACTGGGACTTCTCTCGGTTGCGGGCCATAAGGATCTACAAAGAAGACAAGACTTAGAGGCACAGAAAGAGAATATGAGGGTCGAAAGCACGGTCATGTCATACCTGGCCATCCGGAGCAACAATGTCGCGCATTGAGCTCAGCATGGTGGTCAGGGTGCGAACCGTGTCCCCAACCTCCGTGTGGACGCTCCCCCATTCCCTCTCCTCTACTGCTTCATTGAGGGCAGCCACCTAGACCAGAGACTAGGACGTCCCCGCGCTAACCTCAAGCGGCGTCGACCTCTCTTGCGACGATAGCTCCTCTAGCGATACAGGAGGCGGGTGACGTGGACATAGAGGCCTGCCGTATCGCCACATCCATGAAGGATGCCTGGGGTGCGCCCCCTTCCATCTACCCCACTGCGGACATGGCCTCCTGCACGGACGACTGCTTCGGTCATGCCGCCTCCTCCTGTGGCATCAAGGACACGACCGGCCGCATCGCGCCCGCCACAGACGCCCCAGACGCACCCTCCTTCGCCTGCTCTCCCATGGACGTAGCCATCGGCTGTGCCTCCCCAGTCGATGCTATGGCTGCCCCAATGCCACTCACGCTCACCACCGGCGTGGCGCTAGTCGGCTCCTAGCACGTTTGTCGGAGGAGGATCTTTTTCAAAGCGAGCCGCAGGAGAGTCCCACGTCCTCTGACGCTGCAAGGGACATGGCGGTCAATTCACGACAAAAATTCGCTAGGACAAAGGGACAAAAAAACTCTTGACTCACCTTGACGCCATCATGCAAGGATGTTTTGGGGCCGGCTTGCTTGACCCTGGCTACTCCTCGTCGACACGTTGCCGCTTCGAGCCCTCCCTCGGCTCGGAGGGCTCAGACGAATCAAAATGGCCTTCTCCCGATGACTCTGGAGGCGTCATCGAGGGCTCGAATGGAGCGGGGCGACCTATTTCCACTGGCTCTGGGGCCGCCATCGAAGGCCCAGAGGAGGTGAGGTGGCCTGATTCCGCCAGTTCTGAGGCCACCGTCGAAGGTCTAGACAGGGCAGGGCGTTTTGATTCCACCGGCTCTGGGGGCGTGTCCTCCCCTTCCTGCCCTGTGGCATGCCATAGGAAGGGCCCCACCTACGGCAAAGGCGGGTCCTCATCCCTGGCAACCAGATCATCCCACAGGATGGGTAACACTGAGTCATCCTCCTCCTCCTCTTCTTCTTCCTCCTCTTCTTCTAACGAACCTTGACACCACTTCTCTCACTGCAGCTTCACCCGCTGCTTCGACCGCCACTTCTTCTCCTCATCATCCTTTTTCTTCTTCCTTTTGTTCAGCCATGACACAGTTCGCTGCCCTCATGGCCGCGTGCTCTGTCAGCAGCGCGACAGAGTCCCAAAAGACTAACCCCGCCGGTAGCTCGATGAAGCCCACGTCCGGCCGCATCACGGGATACCCCCAGATCGAGAACACAACATTGGCCTCCCCCATGGCCTCCTTGATGCATTGTGCAACCTCGCTATCGTGGAGCAGCCCCTAGGCGAGCATCGTCCCGACGAGTTGTACACCGGATGTCATCCCGTACAGCGGGAGGACGCGCGCCATCAGCGGCGCCACCCTCCTCGCGTGACACCCCCCGATGGCGTTGGTCCCGTAGAAGTTGTGGGTCTTCAGGAACACGATGGCCTCGAGGAGGTCACGCATCCTCTTCTTCTCCTTGATGGGTGGCTCCCACGGCCATGACGGTGGTACCTCTTCGACCAGGCACCCGGAGAAGACCAGCAAGGGAGCGGCAGGGTCGTCCTTCAGGTAGAACCAATGAGAGTGCCACCCCTTGTTGGATCTAGAGAGCTGGCAGGGCATGTATTCGGTGCCCGCTACCCCCGGAGGTGGATGCCCGCGCATCCCATCGGCACCGAGGTATCCCGGCCTCTCTCCTTCTTCTTGATCAAGGAGATAGAGAAGAAATATCTATACAGCTCGAAGTGGGGATCGATCCCTAGGTACCCGTCGTACATCGTGATGAAGGCCATGATGTGCTGGATCCCGTTGGGGTTCAAGTGCTGCAGCTCGATCTGATAGTGGTGCGGCAGACCCCAGAAGAACGGGTAGGGAGGAACCGTGAGTTCGCGCTCATGGAAGGGCGCGAAGGAGACGATGTAGCCATCAGGCGGCGCCGGTGCATCCTCATGGCTGGGCACAAGCCACTCCGCCACATTGGTCCTCCCGTGGAGAAGACCACGCTTGACGAGGCCCTCTATCCGTGCATGGGTAACATCAGAGCGGTACCACGAATCCATGGAGGATGGAGGCGGCTGCGGAGAAGGAAAGGCGCCGTGGGCATCCCAGCCCACATTTGAGTCTTGGTCGGTTCTAGTCCATGGTTTTTTCTCGAAGAAAGGCAACGGGCCCTTGGGACCGACCGAACGGACCCAAAAACTATATGGATTGGCCGCCAAGAGTCTGGAGTCGGTCACCAGCTGACCCATGCCGGACCCCCACGAACGGGAAGCCAGGCCCCCACTCGGACTAGCCCATTAACAGCTCACCGAGCACCATGTTTTGTCCATCGAGGAAAAACAAGGCACGGCTCAGCCCCTCCGTTTTATCGAGAAAAAAAACGCTTGAGGGATGACAATCGCAAAGACAAGCCGACCCTCGACCGGACCCCTGCTACGCACGGGGGCTCGAGGGAAGTTGGACTCGCAAGGAGACCGAACACGCGGTCATAGTACGACGGCGAACCGATCGGATCCTAGGGGACCACAATCAAGAACAATCTTTCCGACCTCCCGAATCCTACGGTTACATGCCCCCTAGAAGACCAATTGCGACAAAAGGGAATCGCCATCCTACCAGGACACGCCGCGGGCTACAAAAATAAGGCTAAGGCCCTCAGAGTCCTCCCATCCAGAAAAGCCTCCAAAGGAGTATTCTACTCCTCCACAGGCTCGGGGGCTACTGTCGGGTATCGATATTAGGGATATCCAAAGCAAGGAAGTTAGCGCCCACGCTGACTTCCTTAGATGGCTCAAGACGTATTAAAAGGTCTCGCCCGACCTTGAGGCCGCGGGCTCCGTCTCGCCCGCCCCCAAGGACGCGGGTTTCGTCTCGCCCGACCCCTTGGGTGCGGGCTTCGTCTCGCCCGACCTCGAGGACGCGGGCTCTGTCTCGCCTGACCTCGAGGCCGCGGGCTCCGTCTCGCCCGACCCCCAAGGACGCGGGCTCCGTCTCGCCCGACCCCAAGGACATGGGTTTCGTCTTGCCCGACCCCTTGGGTGCAGGCTCCGTCTCGCCTAAGGTCGCGGGCTTCGTCTCGCCCGACCTTGAGGACGCGGGTTCCGTCTCGTTCGACGGGGACCCGTACCGCCGCCAACCACTCTTGGTCCAAGCGTATGGGCCTGGGTCAAAACTCTAACGCTAGGGAACAGGCTGCCACGCCTCGATGTAACCCGTGGCCATGACGGGTCATACTTAGGGATTCACATCAAGAATAGTGTCGGACGTGCCGATGTTATTCTGCCTAATCCTCGTACGGACGCTAACAGGCGTGTCAGTTCACCACGACGTCCGTCGAGACAGAGTGGAACACCATGACCGGCAGATGACGCCTGCGCATGGCGCCAATGACGAACAGGGCCGCGACATGGAGCCGTCCCTGTTGACATCTACAAGATCAACGGGACCCGCATGAAGAAGAAAAAGGACCCGGCAACCCAGGAAGCCTTCTCTCTCTCGTTCTTCTCCTTTTCCTCCTCTGTAACCCGCGCTTTCCCTTCGCCTATAATAGAGGAAGCAGGGCGCCCCACACTAGGAGAGCGGAACACAAGAGCACGACACGAGCACACTGTTGAGCGGCAAGCGAGCTCTCAGCACCCGTTCACTTCTTCCACCAGAGACTTGGGATCCTCTCCCTTTCTCGCCTGTTTGTAACCCCTACTGCAAAAAGTGCCGATAACACGAGCAGCAGCGAAATGGACGTAGGGACGTTCCGTCCAAACCAATATAAACCCTTGTGTCCTGTGAGCACACCATCTGAGCTAGACACGCAAATACAAATTTACTCGTTGGTGGTCCGAAAACACCGACAACATGTGTGAGCCTTGCAACATATCCAAGCCATTTTACCTCCATGACATAGATTGCTCACATGATGTACTTATGAACTAATCACCTGTTTATCTCCCTCAAACACATATTAGTTCAACTAAAGTTGTCACTCAATTACCAAAATCAAACAAGGACATTTCAGATGGGGGGAAGGGCACGGCGCGGCAGCCCGACGAGCGTGCAGTGGGGAAAGGGGGCGGACGGATGAGCGACCACGTTGCTTCGGGTGTCGGGGGATAAGCCGATGTGGGAGTGGGAATTTATTTTTTTATTTTTGAGAAAGATAGAGCCCGCTCCTAGGGAGCCACGTCCATACGAGAGTCACGGGACATACGCCTGGGTGGATCATTATCGTTTTTCTAGCATGACACTCATAATAAATTAGTATGAAATACGTCTGAAACTCTAATAAGACTCGACTGTTCTTGAAAAAATCAATGAAGTCTTTCTTTATAAAGAAAACAAGTACGGTCGGTGTCGCCTATACAGAAATGCGTGACCAAAATCCAAAACCGTGGGTGGTGCCCATGGTTTCATCAATCTTCAATATCGGTATCGGACGCGCCGTTTCAGTAATAAAAAAAAAACTCCAGCGGCATCTTGCACGCAAACTAACAAACGATGATCGAAATAATAGTGACAACTTGCATCTAGTTACTATCAAGTAGCCCATGTTTGTTTAGTCGCCTTGTGTATACTCCATCAATTAATGTTTATATACACTGTGGGTGCTGGGTAGAGTGCGCCGTGGACTGGTCTGTAGGCAAACAAAGCTACTGCGTCGGCGAGGCTACGAACCTAAGCTAAGGCACAGCTGGGCCGCCGTCCGCCGTCGTCGAGTCAGAGATGGCGTCGCCGCCGCGCGTATGCGTGACCGGAGGCGGCGGGTTCGTCGCCTCGTGGCTCGTCAAGCTGCTGCTCTCTCGTGGCTACGCCGTCCACGCCACCGTCCGCGATCCATGTACGTCCAAGCTGATGCTCTGTTTTTGTCAAGCGTGCTGCGTGTGAGTGTGATGGAGATCTCTGCATTTGTATCAGGTGATCCGAAGAACGAGTTCCTGATGCAGCTGGACAAGGCCTCGGAGAATCTGCGGGTATTCAAGGCCGACGTGCTCGACTCCGGCACACTGGTTGCGGCGTTCGCGGGCTGCGAGGGGGTGTTCCATATGGCGTCTCCGGTACCTGGAGACAAAATCGTTGACCCTGAGGTTCGACTCGATATACTACTACATTAATCACAGTCATTTGTGCTAGCAGCAGTTTACATCGATGCAAATTAAATCGAAACCCAGATTAGTGGCTCCCACCAAAATAAACTTTACATCAATGTACATACGAAACAACAGGACTAAAGTGGATTAATTACTCGTTTGTGTACATTGCAACTAGGAAATCAAATGGTTTTGCTCTTGCCGATTTCCCCAAGTAGGCCTCATTGTGGATTTCAGAGAAAATATCAACCAGATACTTTTCGTTTCTCTCGTTTCTTTGCTTCCAAATGGACCAAGACTGTTAAGATCGCCAGGGAGTGTCCCATAATTAATAGCGCCTTCTTCTGATATATATGTTCAGCGGCCATTCCTGAAGATCAGCATTTGCAGACCAGTTTTGAGGGTTAGGACACCTGCTCCAGGTGCTGACCCTGTTCCATACTCTCCTTGAGTAGGGGCAATCGATCGCCAGGTGCTCGTGGAACTATCCTGGTATTTTTTGGGGGAGGGGGCACTACCTACTACCCAGAGTAAACTCCCATCTTGCTACACTTCCTCATCCTGCTACTCTTCCTCATGCCTTTCCACAACAATGCAAAAACCGACAATAGAACCTATCTTCCCCAGCCGAACACCGGTTCCGGCTACCACTAAACTATGTAACATTGAAAAAACAAGGATGTCAGCTACCAAATTTGCCTTCATCTCTGCCACCGAGCCTGAGCGCCTCCATTGCGATTTAGGATTCACAAAGTTTGTTTTTTGTTTTATACTCCCTCCGTTCCAAGACGCAGGTCCAATGTTTATAAAAAATACACTAACATCGACATCTGATCAAATTAGTTTTGTTAAATCTGCTACCAAATATGTCTTAGATAGTGTATTTGTTTGGTATTGTGGATGTCAAAAAAAAATTTTTTTTCTATAAACTTAGTCGAAGTTAGAGGAATATGAATTATAACAAAAATAGAAAAAAAAGTCCATAAATAAAACTAAGAAAAATAAACTGATGTGCGAAGGTTTTTGTTCGTTACAAAGTGAGCTTTTGTTTGTGTTAGCAGTGTTTACTCAACGTATATGAGCAACTGAGAAATTAACCCTCTATTATTCTTTATAGTTACTGTCCTTTTGCTAACCTCATCTGTACAGAAAGAGATGATGGCTCCAACAGTGAAAGGCACCATGAACGTACTGGAAGCTTGCTCAGCTACGAAAGTTCAGAAAATCATCCTGGTCTCGTCCCTGGCTTCTGTCAGTTTTGATCCGAGCTGGCCTGAAGATAAACTTATAGATGAGAGTTGCTGGTCAGATAAAGACTTCTGCAAGCAGAATAAGGTCAGAACTCAGAAATGTCATTATGTTAATTACTACTAGTTTACACACCAGAAGCATGCTCTGCCATCTACCAAAATCTTCATGTGCATTATTGAAAGGTCTAGCATTCTAGCATATTTTACTTTTGAGTCACTTTACTTTTTACTTCTGTCCTAAAATAAATGAATTTTTAGATATGTATATGGGCAGAGACTTGTCCAGTTGAACTCTCAGAAATGTACATTTTGGAATGGATAGAGTGTAAACTAATAAATAAACTCTAGAACTGTAGCAAGTTCTAATAAAAAGTGACGTTAGGTCGAATGCCCTAATAACGTGAGTGTATTTTACTTGTTGTTATATCAGATTTGGTATGCTCTTGCAAAGACCGAATCAGAAGAGATAGCTCTGGAATACGGCAAAAGGAACGGACTGCATGTTGTGACACTTTTGCCTGGTCTCGTCTTTGGCCCTCTGTTGCAGACTGTGGTACTCAACACTAGCAGCAAAGTTCTCGTATATATAATAAAAGGTTATGTATACTACTAATACTATTTAACTCTTCTGTTACCTTGGTACTCGTCTCTGACAAACTTCCTTGTATTTTTATTCCATTGCAGGAGGTCATGACACAATGAACAACAAATTCTGGCCCATAGTGGATGTTCGCGATGTTGCTGATGCCTTTCTTCTAGCATATGAGAATGCTGAACCATCTTCGAGATACATATGCTCATTAGACCAAATGGACATAAAAGACTTGTTGGCTGTTATGAAGAGCATGTACCCTAATTACAGTTATGTGGACAAGTAAGTATATATATAGCATATACCTCCATAAGAAGAGTGGTGTGGACAACAAAGTGACATCTTTAGTATTGAGTACTGACACTACTTACATATATATTCATATCTAGGATGGTAGATGTTGGATGTAAGGTTGCAGTTACCTCAGGTAAACTGCTGGATCTGGGATGGGAACCAAGGAAACTGGAGGAGACACTAGCGGATAGTGTTGAATGCTACAAAAAGGCTGGACTTCTTCAGGATGTGGATGGCGAACCTTGCCGGCTACCTTATTTTTACCGCATGAATGCTGAGGAATGAACTGATCTCCATCACTATTTTCTAGTGTTTAATTTGGAAGCCATCAAATGTAATGATAGATGTGACCCAGTGTTCATCAGACAAGGATGCAGCTTGTTATTTTGTGCTTCTTCCTGTTGAATTGTAGTATGCATAAACAAATCACAAATAAGGTCATTTCAAATTATGTTGACTGAATCAAAATTGGCAATCTAGAAAAACTGGCTTGCACTATTATTGAAAGGATTTTCTGAGGTAGCAGCACGACCGCCTCTGACAAATAATGGTCACTGTTAATTGGCCAGACCGTGTTTGTAAATCATTTCCAGAAAACCTAAAAAGCCAAAAAATTTGTGTCTGGCAATTTGAGCACACACATAACACTTCCCTGCAACTAGACCGTACACTCTTCTGTGAGTATATCTAGATAGCTATCTTCTATATTAATATTTCGTAATCTTGTATAATTGAATATTTCAGCCTCTAATGATTTTAAATGAAAAATTTAACTATAAAGTTTTAGGTCTTGTTGAGCTCTCAATTTTGATAAAGGGCGTGTCTTCATCCGAGATTGTTTCAAAAAATTTTAAAATGGAATATCAAAATATGCAAATTTAAAATAAATATTTGAGACTCTAAACAACTTCAAATCAAAAATATATCAACAAAAAACTTGTAGATCTGGTTTTCCACTACAACTTTGGCATTAACCATGTGAACATTCAAGATCATTTAAAAACTCTAAATTTTGAAATTCTAAATCTAAGAACTCAAAACATATTTTTGGGACTCTAAACAATTTCAAATAAAAAAAATCAACTACAAAGTTGTAGATTGTATCTAGAACTGTAACTTTGGTATAGACTATGTCGACATTCAAGATTGTTTGGAAATTTTAAATTTCAAATTTCAAAATCCATGAACTTAAAATAATATTTTGGGACTCTAAATAGTTTCAGATAAAAATTTTAACTACAAAGTTGTAGATCGTCTCGAGAGATACAATTTTGATATAAAGTTCATCTTTATTCGACTTCATATGGAAAAGTTATGGATTATTTTTTGATTTAACTATTTTATAGTTGGGTCTTTTATGATGTCTGCCTTCGATTTTTAAAGATGGATCCTTAGAATGACCACCTTTCGGAATAGTGATTTTTAGAGATGAGTATCTAAAAATGCCTATCTCTAAAAAATCAATTTACGGAAATGGATGTCCTAAGGCTATAACACCTGTGTAAATCGAAAAAACCGCAAGGTGATCAAATAAGTTTATTGTATCGTATCGAGAAAGATGAGAGTTTGACACTAGATAAATAGAAGCTAGCCATTAATCAAATTACCCATAATGGCGAGCATGTCTTAAAAAATATAGATAAACAATAATTAATTTTTTTTGGTGGACAGGGGTGGGGCCAAGACAAAAGAAAGAACACCGGTTCTGTGGAAACCGGCTTAGCAAGCTCGGCATGGGACCTTGCCCTGGTTCTTAGACCCTTACATCTATATCCATGAGGCCCCATTCACTTTGTCAGGAATGACTGCCGGGAAGAGTTCCCAGACGGAATTGCTATTTAATTTCAGTAGCCAAAATAATTCCTGGCATGATTTTTTTTCTAACCGAACGAGCCCTAGAAGAACAATTAGACCCCTTTTAGATTCTCAAATCCCCTGGGTCCCTAACTTTTTCCAGGGTGAAAAATTCATGAAAAAAAATAATTTGAATAATTATTTAGTTTTCTTCGTGGAGGGTTTTCTATTCCTAGGGGTGCCTCCCCTTCTTCCAAATTAGCCCTAATGTTTGTGAATATCACAATTGTTGTTGGAAATATATAAATTGGCAGAGTCCACATGGTAGATGCTACTGACACACCCGACCACCGTACAATATGCATGCTCATCCGCGTCTGATTAAAGTTTTCAATATGTGTCGTATTTAAGCTTTCCTTTCGAACTTCAGGCTCTTCCGTACGATGACATAATCCGATGTGTCACGCTCGGCGCACCAGCATATCTTGGGTGAGGTAGTGCGCTCGCTTCGTTCGGGGTGGGGGGCACCGGCCCCTGCTGGCCCTTAGTTCCGCCACTGGTTGCTCATGAATTTGTGATGAGATTATATTTTCTGATGCTATATCCTACAAAAGGACAAGCTTACAACCCTACTAAAACAATTTTATTCTGTAAGTTAGTAATTTAAGGTCCTGGATGTGAATCCTGCCATTTCTGGATTTGCCTAATATAGGCACCTGCATCATTTGCGAGTTTCGAAATTGTTGGCGAACTGGACGGGATCGTTGGAGCCGTAAGAGGTAAGGCCTGAGAGCAAAATACTATTCGTTCGCTGAAAAGTACTACTAAAGTAGTTCAAGCGAACAGGGCCTACGTAATCCGTTGTGTCACACTGGGCTCTTATATTGCCCTGCCAGGTGCTAATAGCTTCCTTTTCCTAAAAAAAAAGGTGCTAATAGCTTCCCGCCTTTCCCCTACAGCCTACATGATCGCCACGGCATAGACCGATGGCTTCACAACCAGTGCCTCCGCGTGAGCAGAACGCCAGAACCTATAGTGGATCCGATAGTAGGCGGTGCCGACGTACTGTGCGTGTGATGACAGATTGGCAGGTGTGTATCCGACTTCCACTTCTCGATCGCCTGCACAACACAGGTGCTCTGACCGCCGCAGTTTGGTTTAGTACAATACCGGAGCATTTCGCTGGACGCGACCAGCTTAACGACGTGCCCGGCCAGCTACTCCTCGCCGGGCCTCGTAGCGGTGGCCCACTTCATCCCAAGCTTGGGGGCAAATTAAGGTGCTGGCTCGGTGGAGCGCAGAGTAACGCATAGACTGGATCCGACATCCTTAGCTCACTGCAGGTTATCCAGTGTGACGGTCACGATCATAAATCTGCCTAGGGTGGCTCGCTCCGTCCCTGCTCTGCTCTCCATCGAACCACCACCTTTTGTGGAGGGTAGCTGAAAGATGACCGTGACACCTAAGAGGGAGGTGAATTAGGCAACTTAAAAACTCTAACTCTAAACTATGACCTCTTTTTCTATTCTTAGCAAAACATATGCAAAAGATAAACTATCTAAATGTGCAACTACGGTTTTGTTAGTCTGTTGCTATCTCTACCGCAAAAAGGAGTTATGCAAACAATGTAAATGCGGAAGCTCAAGAGTAAGGTAGAGATATGCAAACTCCCGTCGACAACTCCGGTATTTTTTCCGAGGTGTCGAGAAGCACGTAAGCTTTCCTCTAGTCCTCGTTGGAGCCCCTCGCAAGAAATCCCTCGCAAGGGCCAAGCTCCCGGTCGGGTAACTCTGTGGATAGCCCCGGGCCTTCCCCATGCGTAAGTGGGTCTCCAGTGTGCCTTCCGGCAAGCCTCTTCCGGACTGCTCCCCGCCGTCTTCACTGTCAAGCTTCCGGCCGAAATGCCGCGGGCCTTGTTCCCTTCGGTACACGGTGGCGGCCACACCACAAACGCGGTTGGTGTGATCCAACCTAGAGTAAGCGCATAAGCGATGATCTAATCAACCTAAGCACTTCACAAAGCACCTATGTTAATCACCTAATGAATCACTAAGCACTATCCAAGTGGAGATCACTAAAATGGTGTAATAACACCCTTGGTATATTTTCTCAGCTCCACACTTCTCAAATGGCTGGTTGGGCGGTCTATTTATAAGTCCCATTGAGAAAGTTGTCGTTGGGGACGAAACCTAGCTTTCTGCTACTGACCGAATGCTGATCATGTCCTAACCGGATGCGTCCGGTCGTCCCGACCATTGGAGCGCCCGTATTGATCGGACTCAGCCCAGAGTCCGGTCATCATCGACCGGACGCGTCCGGTCGCGCTGGCGCCGCTCTGGAACCTCTCTGGACTCGATCGGACGCTGCACTTCGCTTGTCCTGTCGTCCAGTCTGCTGCGTCCGGTCACGTTGAAAACACTACAGTGACAGTGTCACCGGTGCGTCCGGTCACTTCTTCGCTCAGCGTCCGATCAGCCAGTCTGTTGCGTCCGGTCACGCTGAAAACACTGTCGTGATGATGAACAGTGTCACCGGTGCGTCCGGTCACTTCTTCACTCAACGTTTGGTCACAGCTGCCGACGCCTGCTATTGCCTGGCACTTGATCGGAGCGTCCGGCCACTCGTAGGGACGTGTCCGATCACCTCTGCCGGGCTCGTTTATTCGCGATCTTGCGTCCGGCTTGGTTCCAATCTTCGTGCTTGGACTTTGCTTGACCTTGTATGTCTTCTATGCATCTTCACATGTCTTTCTTGAGGTGTTGATCATCGGATCATCACGTCGCCTTCGTCCAAGTCACGTCTTGCACCTTATTAAACTACAAAACAATCACTTGCAAATTCATTAGTCTAATTTGATTGTGTTGGTCATCAAACACCAAAATCTAAAGTAAATGGGCCTAGGTCCATTTTCCTTACAGTGACTCCCTCCATCCCTTACTCTCCTCTCCATCGAACCACCATTTTTTGCTTCTCTCCAATGTGTTCTGTTAATTTTTTTTCCTGTATTTTCTGCACATGCATGCAAACATACGCCAATACTGTTGATGTCATCGCTTCCTACCTGCCAATTACTCACTCATTTCAAATTATAAATCATTCTACCTTTTCTAGGATAGATTATGTTTAATATATATCTGTACATAATATATATCTATGTGCATTAAAAAACAACTTACCTAAAAAGGACAAGGACTTCCAGTTTAGAATGGAGGAAGTATACCAGTTATGACAGTCGTCTATGGTTCACCTAAGCCAACAATTAAGCGACACATGTTAATCTGCCCTTCTATCTGACCTAGCCCATTCAATCTATCTTATAACATCTTTGTTTGAAACATGTTGTCACCGCTCAACTCAATCGTTGCTAGTGAGGCACATCCTCATGGGTTTTAGCCATTTCTTAGGCCTCATTTGGAAGGGCTCTTAGCTACTCCGACTCCTGCACTATACCCATGGTCCTGTTCATTAAAACCATTTTTGTCTCTTTTCTCTAAATATTTTTAGCTCCTTTGACTCCGACTCCTCAGATACTGTAGCACAGAGCCGAGCCGGGAGGAGCTCAGCTAAACACGCACTTAGTCTGCAACATTTCATTTTAAAATATCGGCAACCATCTCCACCACACCCACCCTGACATCCACCATCTTACTCATCTCTGGCAGTGGGGACGTCAAGAACAAAACAAATTTGCTAATTTCATCATCTGAGACTAACAAACCCTAGCTTGAGCAATAACCAAAAAACAATAGACTAAAATCTTAAACCCTAGCTTCAGCATTATCCAAGAATCCAAAAAAATCTACAATCATGATCTAAACCTATTGGACAAGATTGGATTTCAAAAACCAAAATAGTTCTAGGATAGTAGTCCAATGGTGGTTCTCCTTACTTCCGCCTACGCGGGTCCATGGGGAAGCTACCCTGACCCTCTCCTTAGGTCAACGGTCTTCAACTCCGGCCAAGGTGTCACCTTGTCATCACAATGCCCCCTCCTCGGTGAAGGCAAACAATTATGTGGGGTGTGCAATGAGAGGACTGATAAGCAGGGTTTCTGATATTTTACCCCACTTGACATGTGACTCAAATCTCACGTGGCTAGAAACACACACATTGGCACTCCACATCAGCGGCCTAGATGAGGTGGGATGGGGTTTGCTTGTTAGGACCAGGTTGACACAGTAAACATAGTTTAGGACCCCTAATATGCAATTTTGGAGTTCCGGGAGCCAGTGAGAATTTGATACAAGTTTAAGGATCACCAGTGGAATTCACTCTCTATAGATTATACTTTGGGTATTTTATTGCCTAGCTCACTGAACTAAGCAAACCAGCTTGAGCTCGCAAACAAGTCGGTCTTCTGGCTCATTAAGACAACAAGCCGAGGTGAGCTAGCTCACTATCTTAACAATCCATATCAAGTCGAGCCAGCTTGATATCCAACCCTATATATAAAACCATGTGTTATGGGGATGGGGGCCTTCACATATGCACGGTCATGCTCTTGCCCTAGAGCACGACGCCTCATCTCCCTCCCGCCCTACAGCGCGACGCCTCGTCTTGCTATTGCCCTAGAGCACGACACCTCTATCTCTTAGAGTTCGCAAAAAGATACTTGTGGCTCAATACACATCAAAAAAGTATGTAAAGCTAAATATAAAAGTATTTTTGATAGAAGCTAAATCAACAAGCTTTTTTTTGGTTTTGATTAAATTTATAGAAAAATCCAATATTTACGACAATATGCCACTCTCCGTCCGAGCCCTGTGGCTTGATGTAGTAGCCCATGTAGCATTATATAGGAGATCACCTACAGACCTTTTGGAAGATGTGGGATAAATTATCTGTTGGAGACAGTGTTATCATAAATGCTAAACGATAAAAAGTAGATCACACTATGTTTAAGATAGTGTTTAAACGGAGTTAAACGATATAAACAACTTTGTATAGTAATACTAAAATATAAATATTTATGTATGTAAAAGTCCAATATACTAGAAAACACACATATTTACGCATGTAAAAAATAAGTATTCTATTAAATAATTTGGAGGCTTTTTACTGTAAAAAAAGTTGGTATTCTATTAAATAAAAAGTCCCCACAAGTGCCACTGCTCTCAACTATTTTGTCTCCCATGCCATTCCGTCGACCTTCCGCTCGAGGTTTAACGCTTTGCTCATGGCATGCTGGCCCGACAAAGAAAGATGTCCCCTAATTTGCTCAATCCCTCCATGATTTGTTCACGTGCACCCCGCTGTACTCTCTATCCCCAATCTCATTTTGAGAGTCAATAACCACCAAGATTGATTCCAAGCCAAATTACGCCATTCTCTCAAGCTAGCGGCAGAGCTTCGCCTCCTCGCGTCGTTTCTCCAGCTCGTGTCCCTTTTCCAACTCCTTCATCTTCCGCTAGGGTAGCAGGGTTCTGGAAGCAGATCGGGGTGAGTGGCGTAGCGGCGCGCGCTGCCCATGGATGATGCGCCAGAGGCGAGGCTAGCCATGGTAGCGCCTTCCCTAATTTGCTCACGAACCATGATTTGTTCACGCACTGGCCTTCTATCCCCAATCTCATTTTGAGAGTCAAAACAGCCAAGATTGATTCCAAGCCAAATGAGTGGCTGGCAGCAGCGCCTTTCTCCACGCCGCCTTCATCTTCTGTCGAGGGGTTTCTGAAGAGTAGACAGCGGCGGCGGCGGACGAGGATGCTGAGAGAGATTAGGAGTTGGAGAAGCAAATTGCGTGCGCCCCGGCGACCCTTCAAGCGCTGCCCCCAACGTAATCCTCGACACCTGCGAGAGAGACTTGGAGTTGAGAAGCAAATTCCTCGCCATCGGTTCCTTGACACCTGCGCGGCATCCGGTTGTGGGCGGGATTCACGGTTCACGGTTGGGTGGCGTCTGGCGGACTGCTCATTGGCGGCGATGCGGGATTCACGGTGGCCTGCTAGTTGGCGGCGTGTCGAGGTGCTGGAGCGCCTGCTCACGGTGGCCAGCGTGTTGCATGTTGATTTGGCCATCGGGATGGCATCCCCCACGCAGGGGCGACAGACGGTGGCCGCGCCGTCCGCGCCTCCGCAGGTGGTGCCCAGGGTGCCGGCTGCGGGTCACTCGGCGGCTTCTCTTGGCTACAGGGAAGAGAAGAGAGAGAGGAAAGTTTGGGTGGCCGACAAACGGGCCCCACTGCAAGGCAAAGTGGTCATTTCATCTATCTATTTGACACCATTGGAGATAAAACTAAACGGAATGGCTTCGGGGACAAAAGAGTTCATAGCAGTGACATATGTGAGAGCTCAACTTTTTAATGGCTTGTGAGTAATTAATAACTTTTTTAATGGCACACAGGTAAAAGCCTCAATAATTTGTTTGGAAGAAATTAAATCCACTCCATCTCATATACTTATGATGTTAATTAGTTTGGTACCAAATGTCGTAGTTATAATCCTCTAGTTGACTAAATGGTGAATTAAGTGGCATTTTGGCTCATATAATCATGTTTAACTCGTTTTGTTTAGATCATCTAGACTGTTTTAACGGGTTTAAATGGTTGAACCGTATTAATCACCATTAGGGTCTAAATCAACACGTGTGGCCTTCATTTACTATTTAAACGTTGTTTAAACAGACTAAACGATTCGTTTAGACAAATAGTGGTTGGAGAAGCTCTTAGGTTTTGATGATACTTGTTAGAGTGTGTAGCGGTCTAGTTCACCTTACCTATGGGCCAAACCCCTCGCTATAGCCCGGCTTAGCTGAAGTCCAAAACTAACCAAGGCCTAGGGATAAAGTCAAAACAAATCCTAGGCTGATGAGTGAGGTTTGTCTCCCCTTTTTATGTTGTGCTCTCCGTGGTCATTTTCTGTGATGAAGTTAATCTAACACAACTAATGTTTATATACTGAAAGTTTGTATTTCTGGTCTCGATCTTCTATATCTATGCTACAAAATGACTTTTGCTGCTCGAATGCATCAAGTTCCTTCCATTCTCATGCACGGCGCTATGATATCCTTCGGATAGAAAGAAAGATGCAATGAAGTTTTCCTGCAGAAAAAGTCATGAAACGTATATCTTGTCTGTAATCATGCTTTGGTCTCTTTATCTTTATGCAAATATATATGGGTAACAGAGATCATATCGCTTGTGTGTGCAACTGCGAGAATGATCAAGTTCAGCAAGCACAACGGAGCAGAAACAACGATGATGATTGCTTCACCGGGAGCTGCTCTTCATTTGTTATCACTCTTTTTCATTTTCTCTGCCCTTTAGCTAGCACAATTCAATTTCCTTTTGCGAGAAAGCACAATTCAAATTTAACAGGCCAATACTTTTGTTCTCCTGCAATCCTGCATGCTCTTCTTATTTTCCTTTAAAGGTGTTCAAAAGACAAGCTTGCGTTTCTAAAATGCTAAGTACTAAGAAAAAAAAACTCCATATCTCGCGTGGAGTTTGACAACCTATCAAATCTTGACACTCTTGCTTGCAGTACATGTTGTCCAATTGGTCTGACGGAAAAATTACTAGAAAAAATTCTTTAGTAGCCCTGAAACATCTTTTTTTTGAAAGAAATGGCAGGTGCCTTTCAATTAAAGTAGTGAAAAGAGATGTTTATGTACAAGAGTAGCACTGAAACATCATAAGAATTCTGAAATAGCTTCGAAAGAACTTGTCGTCATAAATATCACCTGAAGATTAAAACGTTAATTAATATAGAGCCCCGTTACATTTTTCATTGAAAACCTCGGACAATCTCATCCATGTTTGAGCACACTGACATTACAGGTGCATTCGAGTTCTTATATGATATGCCAGTTCTCCTGGTGGTGTTAAAAAAAATAACTTCGCTTTCTATTCCAAAGGGATTATATATAGCTATAGGATCACAAAACAAAATATTCTCAGCTACTTATTTATTTTGTACAAGAAAGAATTCGATGCATCCATAATTATACAACATATGATTTGACCCTATCTTCGTTCCTATCAAAACTTACATATGTGTGCTATGGTAAGATGTGACAATATTCATCTATATAGGGTTCTTGTGGTTCTGTTCGTTTCCCTCCTCCCTGTCCCTGATCCCCATTTCCTACAGCGACCAACCGTCGTCGTCTCTTTCATGCTGGCCGTACATTTTCAGGTTCGCCATTGCCGTGGTCGCTGACATACGGAAGGACCTTGCAGATCCAACAACCGTCCTGTCCTGCTGGCTGACCTCCTTGCAGACATGGTCCAGCATGGACAGGAAGTCCCTCACCACCATGAATATCCTCAGAGGGTGCGCTTCCTCCTTTGCAGCATCACCATGGAAATACTCAGTGATCTCTTTCACTCTTCCCAGAGCCCTCTCCTCGTCGCACCGGACTTGTTTGATCTCCATCTCAGCTTCCTTGAGAAAATCACGCATCCTCGCGAAAAAATTCTGGCCTTGGGTGCACTGCTTCTCGAGCAGGAGGATCGACTTGATCTTGCCAAGACCGGTCTGAAGATTGGATACATAGCTGTGCAGCACATCGAAATCCATGCTAGCTGCTTTTTTGATATTCCCGAGCTCATTGCTCAGCCCAGATACAACTTTCAACCCTTGCTTACGGAACATTTCGTCTTTCACGATATTTCTGGCCTCATCTTCTACGGCTTTCTCGGATTTTGCGTCTTCAGACCGGACGATTTCTTGGACAACAAAGTGTAGCAAGGTGGTTTTGCCATCGGTCCCTTTGACGTCTGCGAGTTTGAGTAGAGTGTCCAGCTTGAAAGCTTTTGCCTGACCACGGTTTGTGCCAACATTCATTCGGTTCCCAGCTTGCAGGACGGCTTCAAGTAGCTTCAGGAACAATCTACTGCCTTTTAAATCATCACAAGCTCCCTGCAAAACCATGCCAATAATGTCAGCCACTCATACATACAGTTGCATCATTGCTAAAAAGGGCTTATAATTAATTTTGCCAATAACTAGACAAGCTATTACAGTATTACGCCTGAAGATGTTGCAGGGGTGCCACTGTCAGATGCACATAAGTGCCCAACTGGCAATGACTGAAGGGCAGTGACCGATATGCTACGAACTGTTCAAATCTACGATTGTGAATGAAGAGTTTGTTGCAAAACAATTACTTTGTTCTACACTTGCAGTCTAAAAATTGATAATAAATTACCCATATTGGTTACAGAGCCTTACAGGAAATAGATAGTTTTTTTTTAAAACAAAGGCAGGAGCTCTGCCGCTCAATTAAGACAGAAAGAATTTATGTACAAGAGGGCTAGCCAACGAGATGCCAAAAAGCACACCCGATAGGCTAACCAACCCACACGACGCAGCTGAGCACTAACATGGCACACTATCATGGGTCATCGTTGCCGAACATGGCCGAAGACGCCAGCAGCTCCGACTTCTCATGGCAGTCCACACACAAGCCACCCACCAACGAGCCCGAAGCAAACAGCCGCAACCGGTCATCGTTGCCAAGCTCAAGCACCCCGCAAAGAGCAGCTCCGACTTCCAATCATGGCCATACGCCTCGCCTCCCGCGCTTGCCGACCCCTAGCAGCCCCCAGCCCACGATGAAGGTGGGGGCTCGCCGCGTGTCATCGTTGCCGAGCCACGTCCCAGACGCAGCAGCTTTGACTTCTCGCAGCAAGACCCGCCTCCACGCGTGATCGAGGCGCCAAGAAGCGAAGAACAATCACCGAGGAGAAATCGAGGCCACGACGAAACCCAAACACGACGCCTTCAGGAAGGTAGCAACGCCGATGGCGCCACCGTCGCACGTCCAAAGTGGACCGGGCTTTCACCCTTGGATGATAGTGCTAGAGGGGATACACGACACCCCCAACAGGGAAAGCGGCACCCACAGGTGTCGCCGTCGCTAGGCTTTCGCCTAAAGAGTCCTCAAGCACGAACGTCGGGCCAAGAAGCAAGGCCCCTTGCCATCCATCACTGCCATCACCGTTGTCCTGCCGCTCCACAGTAACCCCTTCAGAGGGGCCTCGACGCGCCGGCTGCACGCGACAACCGCACAGCTGCGTCGGCCGTCACCCTCTCCGGCCAGGCAACGCGGAGCCGGACCTGACTCCACTGCTCGCGAAACACCGCCGCACGACCAACGCCTCACCCGGCCGCCGTCGCCGGCTCTTGGCACGTGCTGCCGACGCTGCACGTGCCCCACCCCCGTGGGCGCCGCCCCCTCGCCTACGCGCAGATCCGGCCTCGCACACCGGACCGCAGTCGCCAGAGCACATCCCGCCGTGCCCCAGCGCCTGTCTTCGGCGCCAGGACCGCAACCGCTGCCAGACGTTGGAGCACCACGCGGATCTGGCCGCCGGCACCGCCAGCCTCCGCGCAGTTGCGGCAGCTAGGACCACCGCCCCTAGGACAGCCGGATCCGGCCGCCGGGGAAGGTAGCCACCCCGGCCGCTGCTGGCGTCGTCCGGGCAGCGCCCGGACAGCAGCCTCCACCGGAGATGGGGACCGTGCGGATCCCGTCGCTAGGAGGCGCCCGTGGCATCCTCCAGACTGGATCTGAGGGCCCTCGCCCTGGAGAGGCCGGATCCGGCCGTCGCGGACCGTCTCTGCCTCCGGCCAGGTCGCCACCCATCGCTTGAGCCCGATATTGCTGAGGAAAGGCCTCGCCACCACCATCCTTGCGGCCGCCGAGACTCCAGCAGCCAGCTCCAGCGGTGGCGAGGGGAGGGGAAAGAGTGAGGAAGCCTGCGCCGGTGGGTGGGTGCTGCCGCCCGTGTCGCCCCAAGCAAGAGCAACACGGGGCTCAGGCAATAGATAGTAAATGATGATGAATATACAAATTCATGTGCAGCCACTGATCATAGAAACTACAATACTATGCAAAGTGAGGCCTTGTTTAGATTGGGGTTAGGAATTAGTATTTGGCACTGTAGCACTTTCGTTTGTATTTGATAATTATTGTCCAATCATGACCTAACTAGGCTCAAAAGATTCGTCTCGTAATTTACAATCAAACTGTATAATTAGTTATTTTTTTATCTACATTTAATACTTCATGCATGTGTCTAAAGATTTGATGTGATGGAGAGATAGTGAAAAATCTTGCAATCTAAACCAGGCCTGAAAGCATACCTCTAATGTTTCGAAAGATTTCCTGAGGTAATTAATTTCGCTCTCAAAATTTGCTCGATAGAGCATAGCATCAACTCTTTTGAAGGAGAAAGGGATATCAAGCAGTGCCTTGAGAAAACGCTCTGCGGAACCAAGCTTTGATAAGAGTGTCTCCAAGTGGCTCATATGGGCACTCAAACTTAAAATAGGTAGTAGGAGACTTAAAATCAGCCTCCAACAGAGTGTCTATACAGGAGATCCATTTTAGGTTGGCTGAGAGGCACAACCCAAATATGAGTATCATCTCTCCTGAAAGTCCGTTTGCAGAAATGATTATCTTTTAGGTACTGTTGTTAGAGAGGATATCGAATGGATATTGAACTCTTTAACGGTAGCGCTATCCAAATGTTTAATGGGTCTTGTATTTTGGGTGTTGTTGTTGGAGATAGTCTAAATCCCCAGTAAAGTTTCGAAGTTTCAGTTCTTCCTCTTTTGTAGGAGCCATCTTTACTAAGGTTTCCAACAAATCCGCCCCCAGACATTCAGCATTGCCTATTTAAGAATGTCAGTAACAATAAACATTGTGAGTAGAACTAGACAGAATAGCTTTGAATGCTGTCATGTAGCTGACTGAAAATTCTGGAGCAGTATGTATTGCATATTTGCCTTAATTTGAATCTGAAGTCCTCAAAAATATATCAATACCCATTGATATGAGCATTAAAAGATACTAAGCTTCCAAACATGTTATTTCTAAAAATATTCAGTCCAAAATTACCTGATATTAGAATGTATATGATGCTTGCTGTGAACTGGTTTGCCAAGTTTATTCAGAGTACGGCAGTACGCTCAAGATGAAGAATCAAACTACATGCATAATGAAACGATCTGCTAACAAGTACTCTGAGTTCCGTCAGATGCTGTGATACAAACACATATGGATGATTGGATATTCAGAGCTTTCCTGTACAGTCAAATATTTCAGCAAATTATAGTGTTGAGGTTAGTGTGTCCCTAGGAGGTGCATTTGCAGCATTGTTCGTGAAAAGCACCTCGATCATGTCCTCATCCAACCTGCCAGAAACTCATGTCAACATCACAATTTTTAATGATTTACTAATCGTGTGTCTGAGAATGTATCTTTTTTTTAAGGGAAACTGGAGGGGTTTGCACCCCTACAGCACATTTATTAAAAAAAAAAGTGTCCAAAAGATTACAGGAAACAGTAAAGCAGCAACCTAAGAGTGAGGGGGAAGGAGGCTAAGCTAGGGAACGAAGAAACTCTGAGAATGGCCCCGTTCGTTTCTCTTATAATCCGTATTTTTCAGCTTGTTTTTTCAGATGGAACAATATTTTTCTCTCACAACAAATCAGCCGGAGCAGTATTTCGACTTGTTTTTTTAGCGAAGCGAACGGGGCCATATCTTAACTGGAATGAGTTGAACTTGAGCCGGTCCCAGACCATGTCGCGGTCGGAGCACGTCCGGATCTTGTCCCAGTGCAGCGGCTTCAGCTTGGGACGGGCTTCGTCACCGGCAGGATCATCGTACGTCCGAATTGGCATGCCGTCATTGTCCTTGTTCACCGCCATGACGGGTGTTCTCGGCGCAGCGACACTTGGCCCCTCTGTTTGCTCTGGTTTGTGAAGCCGGCGCGTTGATAATGGTGCAGCGGATGGCCCTGGTGGTGGTGGTGGAGGTTTTGGGATTGCGTTGGTGCATCTTGGCGCTGGTGGCGGCGGCGGCGGTGGTGGAGGAGGTGGGTTGGAGGGTGGCGAGACCATTTGCTTGATCATATCCGAGGCGGAGCCGGCGGAGAAGCGGGTCCGCGGCAGAATGCGTCGGGAGCGTGGCGCAGGAGGGGCGTGGGTGGGAAGAAATCGCTGGTAAGGCTGGGGAGGCTGCGGCGGGAGGGTGTGGTGGTCCGTGGGCTGGACGCGCTGGCCTCGCTCCACGTCCCGGCGGACCCCGCCGAGCGCTGGCCCGTCGTGTAGTACGCGGCGTCCTCGTCGGACGACCCCGCGCGCCGAAGCGGCGGGAGCGGCCTGAGTTCCGGGCTCGGGACGGTGTCGACGTCGCGGCACATGCCCCGCCTGGCGCGCTCCGAGCGGGCCTTCCGGTAAGGTGTGGCAGTGGCACCCGACGACGAGGCCGCCGCCGCCGCCGCCGCAAAGGCGCCCACGGCGTCGGCGTGCAGCACGACCGCGGAGGCAGGCCCAGGGTGCGCGGCGGCTGCGAGGCCGGGCGGTTTGTGCGCCCACGCGGGGTGCCGCCGCGCGAGACGGCCCGTGAGGAGAAACGCGGCGGCGAAGGCGAGCAGCGCGAGGACGGCAGCCGCGGCGGCGGAGGCGACGACAATGGCGGCCTTGGGCGTTCCTCCGCCGCCGCCGTGGAGGCGCGGGGCCGGGCCCGTGCGGGACGAAGAGGCGTCCGCGGCGACGGTGTCCGGTGGCGGCGGAGCGGGGAGCAGCGCCGGCCCGCCGTTGTCGACGGGTGGGACGGGCGTGGAGGGATCGGCGGCGAATCCCGGTGCTGGCGGCGCCGTGGTGGACGGCGGCGGGGTCCATTCGATGGGGAAGAGCGGCTCGTGCAGCGCCCGCCGGGTGTCGCCGGCGGCGGCCGCGTGGACGAGGAAGAGGAGTGAGGTGAGCGTGAGGCGTGGAGACATCGGTAAGAGACAGAGTGATGAAGTCCTGGAGAGAGCCAGAGAGGGAGCGAGGGTGATGGCAGTGGAGTGGTAGTGGCGGTGGCAGAGTGGGAATGCAAGCAGGCACGACACGAGGAGAAAGGAATTAGGAATATATGCGTGCGGGAAGAGGAAGGAAGCCGCCATTTTCTGGGTTTGCTTGATAGCAACGTCTCTTCGCGCACTCGTAGCACTTTTGCTCCAGATATCAGCAGAGACTTTCTCCACACGCCATGTGGCGTGGGGTCGCACGGGGTCCACCAAATTGATTTCCCTCGCACTCGACCACTCGTAGCACTTCTTCTTCAGAGACTTTTGTGATTTCGATCGACATTTCTCGTAGTGAATTAGCGCTCCATGCGTCTACAAAAATTAGAAATTCGGGAGTTTTTCACTACCACACTCTGTTCTAAAATATAGTTCGTTTTAGAATATAGTTCATTTTGGTAAAAGTTTTATATTTAGAAATGCCAACGACCTATAAATTGAAATACCAAAAGTTGTGTATTTAAAATACCTAAATGACCTATAAATTAAGACGGAGGCACTAGTACTATTTATTAAGTCCAAAGACCAACACTTATATCTATTGTATCTGTTTTTTCTTATAATAAAACAAAAATAAATAATAAATGCAATATTATAAGTCATTAGATCCTTGATCTTTCCCCACAAAATAAATAAACGTTGATGTAGTTTTAATTAGAATAAAACTTATTTTTATTAGAACCGTCCAACTAATTAATGAAATGGTAAGCACTTTGTTATCCAATTTAATCTAAATCAATGTATCTCAAAGTTATATGCATATATGAGTGTAATCCTCGACAAGAGCTGTCATGTGAAAATAGAGAGATCTCTCCTGTCATAATCACCAAATCCTTAACATGACGACAACTATCTCCTTACCGACTTTAATCAGATATTAGAATTACATATTTTTATGGGTCCTCGAAGAAAAACCAAGAACTCAATATTTAGCTCTTTCAACACAGAGATGGTATGAAAATTAAGTTGACATATTTTTTATGTGTCATATAACAAAAGAAAAAAAACTACTAAGATAGTATTTCGATTCGATGAAGACTTAATATGACATTGTCATATTATTATGAATATTAATAACACATATATGGATGGCATAGTCATTATAAAATAAATTATAGATTTTAAATTTTATAGAGAGCGTAAAGCATAAATAGATATTTAACATTCACGTCCTCGTTTCCTATTAACGTTTGGTAGTTTTTTTCTCATGTTATAACACACACGTATATTTGCAAGTTGAACTAAATTATAGACATGCTATTTGGCTAACCAATGTTTTATAAATGACAACAAGTGGGAACATAACAAATAGTGCCAGATCTAATTCATAGGGTTTAGGTACATAGAATTTTTTCCAGAGCAAAACTCTTAGAATTTTTAATATTTACGAATGCAGAATGTTATTTTTTTTTTTCTACATAGGTGAACGCGGTCTGGACATGCTTGCTAGGTGGGTGGGTATCACACCTGGTTTTCAAAGAAAACCAAACGCTAACTATATATGTGTCTAGGTTGTCCATACAACAAATATATCGACAAATATGAGAAATATTAGAAACAATGCTCCATTATATGTCGTAAGCATAGTTACATTAAGACTTACATTTATAATAGAGTACATCAGAAACTTTTCTCAAACTTTTCTTCAAGACTCCATAATCCACAGAGGCGGTTGATTGGGAGAGCACTCGTCTAGCACTCTTGGAACTCCTTACGAAAACCCCTCCACACTTGAACCACCATTTAGTACCCATCTAATATATTATTAAACCTTTAAGCATGTGTGAGCTTGTGCAAGACTCAAAAGGCTTGACTTGGTTGTATCGCGGTAAGTATTTTTAATTGGTCATGTTTTATTTATTAAACCTAAGTTGCTTGGTTATGCTTAGAGGCCCAAGTGAATAGAATTAATTAACATCAAGATTAGTCATATTTCAAACCATTCATCGAACCATCTAATCCAAAAGAATTCAGGCCACTCATGACTGAGAGCATAGACGATATATCAGTTTTAAATAACTCTGGAAAGTTTGCATAGTTTTACCCATGAATCATGATAACCATCTGCCTGAGGCGGCCAACGTCTTAAACACTTACAAGACGAGGCTTTTCAAAAGACTCCTCAACAAATTGTAGCCTGCAAGGTTTCAGCTCAAATGGCGCGTATGGACATGCATATTGCGCACACCCAGACATTCTACCTAGATTTCTCTGTAACGACTAGTAATTGATTGACCAAACATGCAAGCATGATTAGTGTCGCGTCGCAATGGCATGCATGCTAGCTAAACAAAGGGTTGCATACTATAATACTGGCTCTGCCACCAGTACTAAGCACGCACGAATGATCAGTGTTGGATCCTACGGAAGCAGCAGCTAGCTAGCACAATCGACTAGAGCATTATGCATTCCAGCATCCGGCGTGGAAGTGGACCGCACCCAATCGAGACAAATCGATAGGGCTCCACATGCAATGGATGCAGGCAGCCAAAGCCAAATCCTATCGATCATTCTCCTCGCACAACCCTGCAGGCGTTCTTCTAATATAATGCCACCAGTAATCATCACTCACTCTCACACGCCATCATAATTACCGGATCGTAAGTGAAGTGATCGACCATCCTACATTCCTACTACAACATGTTGGTTGATGGACTACAATATATTTCATATCTTCTGTTTCAGGAGGAAAAAGAAACAAAAAGAAAGAATACAAAAGAAGCCCCTGAACGAACTTGGCGAATCGAGCGTAGCTCCGTTAGTTACACCACTGTAGATTTTTTTTTTTTGAGTGAGTCAGATTTATTTTCCATGGGCGGTGTAACGTTCAAGAGTTTAAATAGCTCAGATCCACTTTCTACATGAGATCAATCACACATTTCTACTAACCTGCTTATGTTTCCGTCCTCAATTCAAGTTATGCTAGTCTAACACCCAACTTCAACAACTCAACAAGTAAGGAGGAAATAAAACCCCACAATTTCAAATCAACATCTACAATATACGTGAAAAGATTTTTGAATGGCTAAAGAGGGGTGAATAACTTAAATTTAAATTCTACAACTCACAAACACTAGGCACAAGGTTAGATACAAAGGACCTAATAAATCTTAGCCTAGATTGTGTTTTGCAAACCTAGGATGAACGACAATCTACCTTTTGCTTTAGCTTTCAGCCTGCTCGGCTGCATTTTTTTCAGCATTGCTGCCGCAGCTATTGCTGCAAAACACTGTAACATGAACTAGCAAAAAGGTGGTGCACAGTGAACAGCCGTAGCCGCAGCCTTGGGAAGAAGTACTGCCGAGTAGTCCCTTTATTTGAGCTGCTCGCTTCTTGTGTCACATAACCTATCTATATATCGTTTACGTTTATCCCCACTAGACTCTGGTGTATTAATAATGATATAACCAATATACTAATTTATCAATACTCTTAATCATTGAGTCCTTGAGAATAAAAACACAATACTCTAGAATACTCTTGAGGTGAAATATTACGACGTATTTCTGTGCGCTTGCAAAACCCATTTACTTGAGCATAAGAAATACCAACATCTTGCCATATCAGTTATTGTTCCATTCTTACTTTGCACTAAACCATTTTGTTGTGGTGTATCCTAGGCCACGAACTCATGCTTGAAGCCTTGATCGTTACAATATTCATCAACTCTTGCATTCTTGAATTCATTTTCATTATCACTCCTTACTTTCTTGATTTCTAGCTCAAGTTCTTTCTTCACTCTCTTGGAAAACACCTTGAATATGTTGAATACATCACTCTTATCATCGAGAAAAGACACCTAAGTGATTCTTGAGAAGTTGTCCACTATCACTGGGGGCGAACCGCAGCTTAGGCCATGGCCCTAGTCGTAGTCCTTGTAACAAGGAGCAGGTCTTCAGTTTTTTGGCCATCAAGCAGCAACACAAGCAGCTCAGGCAAGGAGTAGGGCAACAGAGCCGCTCGGCGCTCGCCTTGCTCGCTCGCGTCGAGAGACTCGCGACCGCCGCCGTCGCCCAAGCTGCACCGCGCGTCCATGCCCAGCCAGCAGCCACCCACCGGCTACCGCGCCGAGCCTCGCCGGCTCGCCCCCCTCCGGTCCTCTGCTCTGCTCTCTGCGGCCTCGCCCTCTCCGCTTTGCGCTCCGCGGCGGCGTGGTTGCTTCCTCCGCCGGCAGGCAATAGTCCGCACTCTGCAGGCATGTGTGGTGGTGCTATGGTCCGCGGCTACGGCTGCGGCTGCTATGAGTCGAGCAGGCCAAGTGCGCAACCACGCAAGCGGCAGGCTGCTTGCAGCAGGCCAGCAGCTCCCCTTCCGCCTCCATTTCTCCTCTAGAATATGCAGCAGAAATTTAAGGCTTTACGCTTCTTCCCCATTTTCCAACCTATCGAGTTTTAGTTTAATTGGATTGGAAGTTGAGTTATAAAATATATGGTTAAATGATTGCTCAATTTTGTACTGAAATTACATACTTGCTTGGTTGTTCATGTTCTATTGAATCATAATGATCAAATGATTGCTCGATTTTGTACAAAAGTTTCATACTTGTTCGGTTGTTCTATAAGACTACATACTACAAACCCGTTTGAAGAAATAAACTATTAGTAGTACTGTAGCAGTATACCTGTGGTACGTTCTCATTGCAAGATATACCATGCCTAATTTTGGCTCTTGGCTAATTTCTAGGTCCGCCACTGAATATCACACAGCAATACTTGTTTCCACCTAATGCTCACACGCATGTGGTAGATTCAAATAAATTTATGTGCAACAACTTTAATGGCCACGGAAGGCACAACTTCAACGCGCAGCCACGACGCTCCTCTTTCTCTACATGGCCATCCGAAAGCCCCCATCGTCGCCCCTCTCCGCTCTTGTCGTCTACGTGCAGTGTGCTAGATTAGTAGTTGCTTTGATTGTGTTAAAAGAATTAGCTTATTTCTACCGTCATCATAAAACCGTTTTCTATCGTCACCAAACACTTTTTGTATTAGTGTGCATGATGTCTTGCCACCATGGGCATACGTAGGCACGGGCAAAAAGAACAACACGGACACCAGTTGCAGGACGACACGAACAGGAGAAGACGCGCACACACGCGCAAGTTCTAGGTTGTGTTTGGTTGATCTTATGAGAAGTGATTCTGCTGAAAGTCAACTAAACAAGTGAAACTTAAAGTTTTTTTTTCGAAACAATTGCTTTCGTGTAGTACAATTTTGAAAGCATCTTGGACCCCACTATGGACTTTTGGCTTCCTATATTCTTTTAAATGCGCGAGAGAAAGCTTAGGGCATGCACAACCCACATACGGGAGGCCGTCTACAAGAGTCTCGAATCCGATGTACAAACAGCTAGAGAGACTCACCGTACAACCCACAGACAGGGGTCGTCTGCGAACGGTTTAATACTTTGCATGTAGCCAAGATCATTCATGAATATTATTTTGTATACCATTGTGTTGCTATTTAATATGTGCAACTGAGTGTTATTCAGTTCATCTTTAGTTCATGCAAGACAGGCATATAAACTTTTTGCAAGCCATTGCCGCCACCCGTGAAGGTTGGGACCCCGCCGCAATGACTACATCCTTGCTCTTCCTTACCAGTGCCACGCCCTAGCATTGTTCCATCATCGCGCGCTCCGATGCTCATGGCGCCGTCGTCGGCGAGCACATGGCGCCGTCGCCGGAGAGCACCGGTGACAGCTCCGGTGCTCTGAGCCACCAGGCGCGGCCGCAACTGGATCCCGAGCGCGTGTAGCCTAGAGACGACGCCCGTACAACGCTGCATCTGCCGTCGCATGAGCTTGGGAGCACGAGCCGCCCGTCTCCAAGCTTGCCAGGGATGTTTTTGCAAAATATACGGTATACAGACAGCGTAATTATTGCCGTTGTACATGCCCTTATGAGCGACGACGGCCTGTGGCGTTCTTTTTTTCTTGTCTTTTTTTCGAGGAGTGTGTGCCGGTTCTTGAAGGCACAAGAGAAGTAGAGGGGTGCAGGCTGTATGGGCCTGGACCCAAAGCAATGTCTGATTTTGCCCAAAACGTTACCCATGACCAATATTACGAGTAACTGATGCAAGATTGTCAATTAGCTGCATTTTAATTTCTCATGTGTACAACCACATTTTAAATAATAAGAATGTGTACTATGAACATTTGACATCAGCCTGCAGCAGCAGTCGTGTTTTTTTTTCCGCTGCCGAACACCCTCTTACCAAAACTGAAAGTGAAACTTTTTTTTTTCAGATCGAAAGCTGAATGGATATCCAAACATATCTCCTTTCTATGGTAACGGCCTAGTAAGAGAAATAAGGACTTTTATAAACATATACATGATATATACACATATTCATATGTTATAAACAAGAGGCAACAAATAATAAATATTTTCAAAGTCAACTTAGAATAAATTTAATAATATAAGTAAATAAACTATTATTAGCATATCCATAAAACATGATTTTAATTTCAAATGATTTATTTCGTGTATCCACGGTGATTAAAAAGTAACTCGTATCCATCTTTTTCATACGTCGCCGATCCAAAAATCTATAGATGCTCATCCTTTCTAGAACCCTTGAACCCGAAGACCCGAAACCAACGGATATCGCCGACGGTGTGAAGCGGCTACATGAGCTGGGTGGTCATCCTTATCATCATTGTCAATTAGCTGCATTTAACACACTTTTCGTGTATGTATGAGAGACAGACCACATTTTAAATAATAAGAATGTGTACTATGAACATTTGACATCAGCCTGCATAGCAGTCGTGTTTTTTTTTCCGCTGCCGAACACCCTCTTACCAAAACTGAAAGTGAAACTTTTTTTTTTCAGATCGAAAGCTGGAGAAACTCTTCCAAACATATCTCCTTTCTTATTTGCACGGCCTGAAGCTTGGGTGGCCTCTGACTGAGGCCTTGAGGCTCAAACATGCAAAAGTACGAACAGCTAGCTTATTTTTGAATAATAGTACGTAGACGTGAACAAAGTTAGCATGTGAATAATCATAAAAGTAAAGTAACATATGAACTATAAACTTCCAATATCCATTATTTTGTTTTGGCAATTATAAAGTGTGACTCCGTGTTGCTCACTCTTAATTAAAAAAGTATACTCGTATCCATCTTTTTCATACGTCGCCGATATGCTGATCTATAGATGCTAATGCTTTCTAGACAGAAGCCTTGAACGAGAAGGGTGACCAACGATATCGCCGACGGTGTGAAGCGGCTACATGAGCTGGGTGGTCCAAGGTGATCATCAACTCACTTTATGAATTTAACACACTTTTTCGTGTACCCATATGAGAGACAGAGCGGCATGTTAAGACATGACGTGGGGTCTAAGACGAATCGTGATACATAACACGATTTTGTTTATTAAATCTCTGAGCTGTAAATTGTTTAGATGACCGCGTAATATCTGTTGTAGCGTTCTATTCAAAATGTTTCATCCTTTCGACACATATTTGCTAGTCTATTTATCTAGATTTGCTTGGTTTGTTCCAAGTAATACATATACATACACCGCGTCATTTTGAAACACGTTGAGCGCCGCCGAAGTGCTTCATTATGGTAATGCTTGGTTTAGCGTATGTCATGCGGTCCCCACCTGCAAACCCCCCGGGAGCATGAGCGCTGGCAACCAAGAAAAACGCCAGCCCAGGGTGGATCAAGCGCAACAATTTCATGCGCAATTAGCGAGGCCCACATCATGGTCCTTTCTGAGGCGAGGCGGCGCATGGGGGCGCGTGTGTACTGCTTCGCCGTGGGGGTGCATCGCAGCCCACGGGCATCTGGAAGACGGTTAGATGGTCGTGCATCGGATCACTGTTTGGGGTTGGTTTCAGCGCAGCTTATTAATCGCCCGCGATGTTTTCCTCTCACAACAAACCAGCACCAACCGAACTTATCAGACCGAGAGAGAGGAGAAGGTGTCCGACGGCAGCATACTCCCCGGCACCGCCATATGGTTTTTATCCAGCGTTTAGATGTATGTTTCATATGTTGTTTTATTCAAGATGTTGTATGTGTTTCATCCGATGTTGCATATATATGTTGCAATGGCTATACACACGGTGGCAAGTGAAGACTGAGGCAGCGGAGCTTCTTAATCGAAGGATAATAACGCAAATGTTTTATTTGGATATTGGCCATATGTTTTAGGTACAGTATAACATAAACATTGCCGGGCCACCTCGCCAACCAATCAAAATGTTTCATCCTTTAATCCACCCCAATTTAACCCTAAACCCCAATACAAGTGTGTTTATCTAGATGTTAACCCTAAACCCCATACCTATAATATATGTTGCCCTTGCGTTAGTTGCAAATGTTTCATTTTGTTTGAGGCGTATGTTGCGTAACACTTCATTTTATTTGCAAATAGTGTTTAAACATGGACTAATTAGGCTCATGGGTGGTCCCCACCGCAATTTCCCACCAAACCTGGCGCATAATTAGTTTTTCTTTTCGCGCACATTTAATGCTCCATGCACGGGCGCAAAAATTGCATGTAACAGTGCACAGAGCAACTTTTTTGCATCATTGGTGGAACTAAACAAGCCGCGAGTGGACTGGTGTGCAGCAAAATGGTATCGCTTCCCATCATTGATCTGATAATTATGCCACAAAATGGCGATTATCAAACACCACCATCTGGAAGATAATTAATAAAGGGACAATTGGATCACGGACATGCCAAATAAGCACCGACGGCCGGTGGACACCCCAAATCCGCAAAAAGTTAATCACCAACGGTGTTTTCCACTTTGAATTCCCGCCCGCGGCTTTTGCCAGATTAATAGGATACTCATACCAATAAGTTGCAACTTCTTTGCCCTTAGCCCATCTACAAATAACTCCAAGGTTAAGCGTCCTCCCCTTTCTTTCTTCAGGTGCCACCGACGCCTTCCCCGAAAAGCGCAAGGAGTGAGGAGGAAAGTCGCAGAAAAGACTGAGTGTTGGTGCGTGAATTTGGGGCTATATCCGGAGAGAAGTTGCGGGCGGAGGAGGCTTCCGGGCCCGGAGAGAGAGGCGCCGTTACGAATAATTATCGAGCCGACTCGCGCGGTTTCATAGGCGCGCGTCGCCGCCGCCTATGCAGTGAGGCATGGGCTGTGTGATCCGATGTGGTCACACGAGGATGGCACATCTGCTACGCTGCTGCGACACACGAGGACGCGGCCAAGAGAGGACGCCTCGGCTTGGGATTGATCGACGAGGACGTCGATCTCTTAAGGGGGTGAGGATGTAACATCCCGGCCCAGGGCTTAACAGGATTAATAGGATACTCATACCAATAAGTTGCAACTTCTTTTCCGGAAGTCTATCTACAAATAACTCCAAGGTTAAGCGTGCTTGGCCTGGAGCGATGGGTGACCGACCGAAAAGTTCTTCCCGGGTGCGCACGAGTGAGGACAAAGTGCGCAGAAAAGACCTGTGTTGGTCTGTGAGACTGAGGCAGCGGAGCTTCTTAATCGAAGGATAATAACGAACTAGGATGGCTTAAAAATTGAACTGGCCAGTAGCGGATTACATGGTACAGTATAACAGTAACACATTGCCGGGCCACCTCCACCAACCAATCAACCAATCATACACGTTAATCCACCCCAATTTAACCCTAAACCCCAATACCTTCCAACCCAAGTGGACTGGTGTGCAGTCAAAATGGTATCGCTTCTCATCATTGATCTGATAATTATGTTACAAAATGGCGAACCAAACACCACCATAAAACTGATAATTAATAAAAACAACGAACTATCAAAGGAAGGGTTGTAGCTAACTACTAATTAATCTACTACTAGTATATAGGATCAGACAGCAGTCCAGAAAGACCGTTTCATTGACAATCAGCTCAGGCAATATTATCCTCGCGAGGAGCTTCCATTGCCTCTTCAGCTTTCTGTTCTCTCGAACGAGCCCTCGACAAAGCCTCGGTTATATCAGAGTTCAATGGCACAGCAACTTTCAGTAGACTAATGAAAGCTTCGACATCCTTGACCTCCCCTTCATCTCCAAGATACTTAAGTATCATCTCAATCATTGAAGGCCTAGGGATCCAGCCGGTATTGGGGACGTACACAGAGAGGGCATTTTTGGTCAGCTCATAAGCTTTCGCGACATCACCTTTCTCCACATAGCCAATCACCACAATCCCCCAGCTGGTTGAAGTAGGCATCTTTCCCTTTTTCAAGAAGCCGTCGAACAGCGTCTCAGCCTTGTCCGGCAAGCCCTTTTGGCGGTACCCTGTGAGCAGGACATTTGGAACTTGGAAGTCGAATGCATTTTTGCTAGACTCCCACTCTTTCAGCAAGTCTTCAGCTTCTGTGATGCGATCTCATCAAGCTTCACAAGCACGGCAAGCATATTGGTGTAGTCCTTGTTTATATACCTCTTACAGTTCAACATTTGCAGCACCCATAGCCTCTTGACTTCTGATTTGTCCCCAAGGTAGCCATACAAGGAAATCAAGTGGCCATAGGCACCCGCATCCTTTTTATCCATTTTTGCCTCTGCTTTCCTTAAGGCAGAGTATGCCTTCTCCCTTAGGTCACCCTTAATGTAGTTGCTTGCCACAACAGCATAGGTATTCCAGTCAACAACAATTTGAGGCTCACATTCCATCTCCTCCAGGGTGTTCTCCAACCCAAAAAAGTCAGCTCTTGTGCCATAAGAATTTATGCATATTCTGTAGCTAAAATTATCAGGAACAATCCCATCGCTCTTCATTTGTGCCATCACCGAAGGTACCCTCTCATGCTGCCCTATGTTGGTATAGAGGCCCATGAGGTTATTGTAGGGGGGCGTGGAGAACACAAAACCCAGCTCTTTCATATTCTGAAAATGGGCCAACGCTTTGTCGACCAAGAGTTCTTGTGTGTAGCAGTTGAGAAGTGCACCGTAGGGTTTCTCTGTCTTATCTTTGTCAGACAGGTTATTGAAGTAGGTCTCTGCTGCTCCAACTCCATGGACTTGACCAATTAAATCTAGGTGAATAGCATGATCCTTTGGCAGAAATTTGACGTGACCCTTGAGATTCATCCACTCCGAGACCTGTGCAAAGTGAAAAAAGATAATGATCGATAAGGGATCCAAGAATACATACAAAACTGTGCATACAACGTCTGCGGCGCTAAGTCCTAGAACATATATGCTTCTTGAGGATATGTATTCACTAATCATGTGCTATGAAGCAATGATGGCCAAACTTGTACTGAATCCTATATGTTGGCCAGCATTGCGGACACATACAGATTGGTCAGCAAATAAGTAGACCTATGACTGAAGAGCAGGCCAAAATCTCCTAGACTCCTCAATTCCTAACGATAACTCAAGTTGCCCTCTTTGTATCAATCCTATCCATGTTGCTCACAGAAGAAAAAGGTATTAACAAAAAATATTTCACGTGATCAGCATTGTACCGATAAGTTGCCCATTGCATTTCAGAAATTTCTGCATTACATCATACAGATACATCTCAAATGCAAATACGAAGGCACAGATGATACGGACATGTACAGCATCAACAAGAAAAACATAACCATCCCCCCCATATTATTTCATCGAACACCTTCCATGCGCAATCACAGCAAGCAACCTACTAGAATGAAAAGAGGGCATGAGGAGCGCCGTATCTACCTCGAGGGCCTGGTGGTGGTGGCGGCGCTTGCAGAGTTCCTTGACGATGTGTTGGAGCTCAACGGCTCGGAGGCAGTTTCTGGGCCGCGCCGCCCACAGTTCGATCTCCGGCACAAGGAGTGTGCCCGGGTGGCCCAGCGGCCACAGCGTGGACTGCAGGCTCTGCGGCCTCGCCGGCGGCGGTCGCTCCTCCTCGCTGTTGCTGCGAGATGAGGTGGCAACGGCGCGAGAGGGGGGCACGGGGAGGAGTCCTCCGCGGCGGCCAAGGCTGAGCAGGCGGCGCGCCGCGACGAAGAGAGAGGCCATGGCGAAAGGCCGTTGGCGGCTTGGCGCTGGCTTTGCCGTAGCCCGTGGGGCCTTTGGGCTTTTGGCCATTTCGGCCCAATTCTCGTCGGCTTCCCTTCTTCCCCTTCCCCCGAAACCCTCGCACTCTAGCGGCCCGCACAAAGCCGCCGGAGCGCCGCGCCACCATGTACCGGCTTCTCCTCCGCCGCTTCTCCACGGCTGCCGAGGGTGCTGCCACCGCCTCTCCCTCCCCCTCCACCTCCATGTCCCCGACCCTGCGGCAACCTCTGCCGGACGACCTGTACCGCCGCATCATGAATGTCGGGCGCCCATCCATCCCGCTATCCCCCGTCCTGGAGCAATGGGAACAAGAAGGCCATACCGTCAAGAAGTTCGTCATCCAGGCCATCGTCAAGAAGCTCGTCGGCCTCCGCCGCTTCGCCCACGCACTCGAGGTCCCAGGCAAACCCTCCTCCCCCAGTCCCCCTAAACGAATTGCTTCCTTTTTGTGTGTGTGTAGATTCTTGCTCATTTCCCATGCACATTCCGCTCGCTGAGTCAGGCGATTCGTTGCGTTCTTGCAGCTATCGTTCTGGATGACCGACCGGAGGCACCTCCACCTGTCGGCCGGTGACGTCGCGTACCGGCTGGACCTAATCAGCAAGGTGCACGGTCTTGAGAAAGCTGTCGAGTACTTTGGCATGGTACCGAAGCAGCTGAGGAAACCGCAGTGCTACGGCTCCCTCCTGAAATGCTATGTGGAGGCGAAGGCCGTCGACAAGGCTGAGGAGCACTTCGCTAAGATGCAGGAGATGGGGATGAAGAGTTCTTATGCATACACTTCGATGATGAAGCTTTACTTAGAGACTGGGCAGCTTGAAAGGGTGCACGCCATGTTCCAGGACATGGAAGAGAAAGGTGTGAAACCTGATACGTTCAGTGTGGAGAGTATGTTAGCTGCGTACATTGCTGCTGAAGATGTCGAGGGGGTTGGTAAGGTGCTCGACAAGGCCAATCCACACGAGAAGCTTGTGAGTTGGCATGGACATGCTTTGGCAGCGAGCTTGTTCATGAAATCTGGGATGCAGGTGAGGGCTGTCATGGCTCTCCTGGAAGCCGAGAGGCGGATATCTCCAAAGAGTAGTAGGATTGCATACGCTTTCTTACTCAAGACCTATACTGATCTGGGGATGTATCCTGAGGTTGGACGCATTTGGAGTGTCTACAAATCCAAAGTGCCACCGTGCAACACGATGTACTTGTCGAGGATAAGTGCGTTACTCAAGATGAACGACATTGATGGGGCGGAGGCAACATTGAAAGAGTGGGAAACGGTCTGTCTTCGTTATCATGATTTCAGATTAATCAACTTGATGGTTGATGCTTATTGCAGAGACGGTCTTGTGGAGAAGGCAGTAGCTCTTGTGGATGACGCCATCAAGAAAGGGAGGACACCTTACGCTAATACTTGGTATAAGTTGGCTGGTGGATTTTTTAAAACTGGTGAGGTACCAAAAGCAGTGGACATGACAAGGGAGGCTCTTGATTCTGCGACTCCTCCATGGAAACCTGACCTCACAAATGTGCTAATGAGCCTGGAGCACTTCATGAAACAGAAGGATGTAGAAGCAGCTGAGGAGATGGCGAGTATGCTACAGAAGCTGGATCCTTTGACTAGGGATGTTTACCATTGTTTACTGAAGATATATGTCCGTGTGGGAAAGCCGGTGTCCGATTTGCTCGAGCGAATGAAGAAAGATGGACTTGAGGCTGATGAGGAAACAGAGAGAATCCTCGCAGGAGAATGCGAGTAGATATATGCACCCGTGATCGATCACTAAATAATCCCTTTTCTCTGTTCATCTGTTCCTTCTTTGTTCTTGAGCTCTTCTCATTAGTTTGACACATGGCCACTGCTTGCATAAAACAGCACAATCCTTTCTTGTGTATGTGATGGCCTCACAGGTCAGTGGTGATGTGAGTGATAGGGTTGAGAAAGCATTTAAAGAGTGGGAAACAGTGACTCTTTTCTTTTGTGGTTCCAAATTAGTGAAATTAGTGATCAATGCTTGCTGCAGAGTCTTGTAGAAAACCAGTAGCTCCTGTAGATGATCCCATAAAGACAGGGAGGAAATCTGGCGCTAATATTTGGTATAAGTTGGCTGATGGGTACTTCAGGAATGGTGAGGTGCTGATGGCAGTGATTACGACAAGGAGTGCTCTTGCTTCCACAATTTATCCACGGGAATCTAACCTGAGACATGTAAACTGAACCAGAGACATAAATTCTGGTGACGTGTGCAAAAATCCCATGAACAAGTGTCATGGAAATACATAGCACGTATTTGCATTCTAATCAATCTCTGCTTGAGTGAGTTTGTTTTGTTTTTTAGTTGAGCCTGACATTTAGTAGCTGTGCTGCCAAGGTGAAGTCTGGGAAATGTTTGGATTGAGTCGGGGTGTTGGTGCTGAGTATAAGTGCATAACATGGCCTGCCGCCAGCGTAGTATGTTTGGTCCAGCATGGTGGAATAGTGATTTCTGGGGAACGGCCATTTTAAGCCCTTATTGGAACGCGGGGATATGAGAAATTCGTGTGGAGTTCCTCCATTCTGAATCAAGCCAGCTTCACCGATCCGTCTTTGAAACTTCATTTGCAGAATGCAGATGTTGGAGCTCCACACTGGCGTGTGTGCCACAGCATCATCATCTCCGGCCGGCTCCGCATTGGGCCGTCATTGGGCCGTGCCTGGCTATCGCGATCTTTGTTGGACAGGGCCGTTATGGTGTTTCTCCTGTAGATTCAACCAAAGCCAGGGTATTTTGTTAAAAAAAATCTCTACTACCAGGGTATTCGACCCAAAGCGCAATCTTTTCTTCTTCATATATGCCGCACAGGTTCTTGTAGGATAGTGACGTTGGTACTGTTAAAAAAAATCAACTGCCAACCAGATGATGTTTTTTTTAGACGAAAGGTTTCTCCTGCTTTATTGGTATAAAGCAATTCAAAACATCTCAGCACAGCGTAACGGCGCGCCCGCCAAAGTTTACAAGCCAGAAGAAAACTAAACGGGGCCTAAAGGCCGAAAGTCGTCATCAACACCAACTCCCACAAGCGAATGACAATTCTCAGCCTGGGCCATAACATCAAATTGAATCGCAGCGACGTAGCTCTGCTCCGAAGACTGAGAAGCCGACGTTTCCCACCTTGATCTGATCCCCCCATTCCAACATATTCTTGGAGGTTGGTTTGCTTTGTCCTCCAGCATCTGGATCGCCGTGTCTACCATGATCCCTAGGTCTTGCTCGTACAGCGGCCTCCACCTTCTCAGAATCTTGGCAATCTCAATTAACACCATTTTTTCGCCTGTCCATGTAAGTCCCTGAAAACACATCTTATTACGAAGATTCCAAAGGCACCAGATAACAGCTGAACTCATAATGTTAGTGAAAACATGTTTCTTGTTTGCTAGCCAGAACGTAGGAAGGAATTCAAAATTCCAGTCACTTCTCAAATTCAAAATCCCAGCTATTACTGGCCATGTCCTCTTTGCTACACAGCAGTCAAAAAACAAATGAGTCACAGACTCCAACTCGCTACAGAAGAGGCAAGTTTTATCAGACACTTCCCTTCTTTTTGATAGATTGTCCCTGGTAAGAATCTTGTTTTTAGCTAATAACCAAAGAAAAATTTGTAATCTAGGAGGGACTTTTAGTTTCCATACAACTGAAACATATACTGGCACAACACCCCTGTGACTTATAACCGCATAACGAGACTGGACAGAAATTTTACCAGTTGAGCTAAAGCTCCAAATGATCTGATCGTTTTCTTCTCTCAGATTTAGGTTTTCCACTATACTTAAAAGGTCATACCACATATTCATTAAATTCTCCGACACAGAACGTCTAAAAGTCAGTCTTAAGACATGACCATCCCAGACCTGATCTATAGTCTTACCGTGTTGTTCATTAATGACATACAGAGGCCAAAATTGAATCGCTAGACTTGAATTGCCAAACCAATGGTCCTCCCAAAATCTAACTCTTTTTCCATCACCTACTAATCATTTGATCCCCATTCTAGCCGCTTGTAGAGCCCACATAACGCCTTTCCAAAAAGGTGAAGCTGTAGGGCTATTACTGCACATGAAGTTTGGTTTGTTGGTATTGTATTTGTGGTTGTGGTCTACAATCTTAACCCAAATGGATTCAGATTGTAGACCATATCTAAAGATCCAAGAGCTGAGTAAAGAGAGATTCAGATTTCTCATATCTGGGATACCAAAGCTCCCCACCTCTTTCATTTGAGCCACCAGCTGCCAATTAGCAAGTTGGTATTTGTGACTTTCCTCATTATTATTCCACAAGAAGTGTGACATCTGAGAATTAATCATGGCAATTGCCCATTTAGGAAACTTTATTATAGACATGAGGTAAATTGGGACACTAGCAAGACAGGCTTTCAGCAATGTTAACTTACCAGCATAGGAGAGTAATCTCCCTTTCCAACCCGCTATCCTTTTAATAATCTTGTCAATGATAGGCTGCAGGTCTTCTTTTCTCAGATTTGTAAAATGCAGAGGCACTCCTAAATATTTTATTGGGAACTCCCCTTTCTTACAACAGAAAATTTTTTAGTACTCATTCACCCTAGACTCTTCAATCCCAATAGTTAGGAGATCACTTTTGTCAAAATTGATTCTCATACCAGTCATTTGTTCATAACATAGAAGGAGCCATTTTAGATTGTTTGCTTTTTCTAAGTCATCTTCCAAGAAAAGTAAGGTATCATCTGCATATTGCAGACTGATCACCCCACCCTCTAAGACTTGTGGCAAAAGACCAAAAATAAGATTGTTTGCAGCAGCTTTCATAAGCATTCTGGTAAAAATATCCACCACAAGATTAAACAGCAAGGGAGATGAAAGGGTCTCCCTGCCTAAGTACTTTTCCAGGTTTGAAGTAAGTGCTATTTTCATCATTAATTCTCACACAAAGTGAACCACCCTTAACTATTTTCATAACCCATTTCACCCAAGTTTCTCCAAAACCCCTTGAAAGGAGCATGTCTTCTAAGAAAGACCAACTCACTCTATCATATGCCTTTTCATAGTCCAGTTTCAACACAACCCCACTCTCTTTATTTTTATGTATATCATGCAAGATTTCATGAGCAGCCACCACACTTTCAAGAATGAACCTACCTTTTATGAAGGCAGTCTGGTTTTTGGAAATTAATCTATCATCAACTCTAATGAGCCTATTAATTATAGCTTTGCCAAAGATCTTAAAACTGCAATTTAGTAAACTAATAGGTCTAAACTTCTTAAGAAGTTTAGCCTCTGGTTCTTTAGGGATCAAAGTAATAACTGCATAATTCAATCTATCTAGATTTAACTTGCCAATTTCAAAGTCCTTAACAACCTTCATAAAATCAGATTTAATCAAGTCCCAGAACTGATGATAGAACATAAAGGAAAAACCATCAGGCCCTGGTGCCCCATCAGCATAAGATTCGAAAATAGCGGTTTTAATTTCTTCCTCAGAGAAAGATGCTTCCAACAGTTCATTCTCTTGTGAGGTTACCTTATCTTCCTCTCCCCAGAAATCTTCATCTAGTTTCACTCCACTCTCAGGTTCTGACCCAAAAAGGTTTTTATAGAAATCCACGGCATGTGTTAACATTAAATCATTATCCTCTACCTCACCCTCTGGAGTCTCCAAACAAGTAATTCTCTTCTTTCTGTTCCTTTGATTTGCCACTGCCTGAAAATAGGCAGTGTTTCTATCTCCCTCTCTAATATTCCTATCTCTAGACCTTTGGCGCGCTTTAATTTCTTCCATATTCCAAATACCTTCTAATTCTACCAGAATGGTGTCCATCCTTTCTTTCTAACCTGGCAACAGGCTTCCCAACTCATATTTGGCATCTAAAAGATCAAACTCCTTAAGAAGTTCATTCTTAATTTTCCTAATTTCAACATTAATATTCCTGGCCCATCCTTTGATTTTCTTTCTAAGAAGCCTAATCTTGAATTGCCAAATTTCAATAGGTTCAGTAAAAATACATTCAGTCTGCCAAACCTTTGTGACAAATTCTTTAAACCCAGGGTGATTTAACCACCATTTCTCAAACCTGAACATACTAGGTTTCTTTCGTTCCTCAACCCCAAAGTTAAGAACCAGAGGCACATGATCACTCCCAGCTCTAGATTTAGAAGTAACAAAGGCTAGAGGATATTTTTGTTCAAGACTATTATTACATAAGAATTTATCCATAGCAGCCATAATAGGTTGTTCTTGATTGTTGGTCCAAGTAAAAGATCTAGACGAACTTTTTAATTCTACTAAGCCATGACAGTTTGTCCAATCTTTAAAAAGATCCACCCCAACCAGATGATGTTATAGGAGTATATATTGGTTTGTCTTCATGAGCAAATACTCGTCATGATGATAAGACTGCCGAGCGCCGACTGCGAGCCAGAGGATGGGATGAATGTGCACGTGTTGTTTACCAATTGTTTGGCCAGCTTTCAGATAAAATCCAGGCCGCAGTATAGTATCTCTCTCTCTCTCTTTGTTGGGTCGGTACGGTGGCCCTTTTTCTTTTGTGAGATGTGATGAGAATAGATAGGCCGTGATGCGGATGCTCTAGTTGCTTGCTTCGATTATTGGACGGTCAGACGGTGGAAAGTTTACATGTCTGGCTGTGGTTCGACTGGAATAATGATCGGACCTGGTGCGGCCGCCGACGATGCGGATGCTCTAGTTGCTTGCTTCGATTATTGGACGGTCAGACGGTGGAAAGTTTA